CGATGTAGAGGGCTTGTCGTTATTATTATTATTTTTTTTAATTTATTTCTCAACGAAGATGGTTTAATTTTTTTATATTTCTATTATTTATTAATCCCTCCCAACCGTAAACCTGCCCATCCTTTTGCCAGCTGGGCCAGAGCATAAAGCCTGGGACTGCACCTGGGGCAATGAGTCCTGCACTGAAGAATGTGTCGGGGCCGCGCAACAGACTAGATCCAAGCCCCGAAGCTTACACCACCAGTTATCCCCTCTCCCTCATCCCGTTCGCCCGCCTTTCTGCACCCCATCCCCTTGAAACCTCGGATCAGTGCCTGCGCTGCGCTCCGGAGATCTTTGCCGGGGTGAAAACCCCGGAGCCCAAGGAGAGACGGGGCGGGCGTGCTAGATGCATGGGGGAGGGCTCCGGTTAATGCAAGTTCTGGGCTCCTGCAGGGACCCCGACAACTGTCGGCAGCAGCACCAGCTCGGGGCCTCCTCCTCTGCTTCATCAGCGATGCTTTTCCACAGCCTGTCCGGCTCGGAGATGCACGGGGTCATCGACGAGATGGATCGGAGAACCAAAAGCGAAGCACCGGCCATCAGCTCGGCTATAGACAGGGGAGAGACCGAAACGGTAGGAAGCGAAGGAATGGGAGAGTCATTCAACCCCCTAAACGTAATAAACCCCTCAAAGAAACAGCTTTTCCCTTAAAATAACGGATTGGGGGGAAACGTATGCAAAACGCTAAATCAGAAGAAAATTAAGCATAAAGGCGCTCCAAAAGATTAAATAAAACCGTGGGGGAAGGCCTGAAACTGTTAATTATTAATAATATGCATAGTAATAGTAACGCTTGGGTGAAATGAATGTACTGCTCTTGGAAGAAAACAGAAAGATAGACCAGCCTTTTGGTAGCGTCCAAGAACTCCTTCCCTTCCCCCAGCCTATCCAGCCTTCCAAAGTTTTTAGGAAGAGGCAAAGTATGCTTTTATACAGATAATGTTTTTGGCACAGTGATTTTTTTTTTTGTCTTCAGAATGGAAATACAAATACCAAAGAAACCAATTCTGTGTTATTTTTCAGGTACGATCTGTACACTGCGGTAGTCTTTATATCATTTGTAAACAAAACAAAAATCTGATCAAACTCGAGTGCCTTTAAATTACGAGGATTTTTTTTAAAAAAAAATTGTAATATATATGAACTCTAGGTTGTGAACATGGAAAACAGAAATAGACGATATGTTTCAGGGAGATGGATGGATGCAAATTTTTCTAACTTTGCCACTCTTTATCTGCTGATGCCTAGTACTTTTATATAAATACAATTAAATAATGAAAAGATGCATCCTTCTAACGAGAGCTAAGCTAGCAAAGTAGAAGAGATTTCTGAAGTGTGTTAATTGATTCAACGTTTTATGTATACTACTTTTGTGTTAAGAAATTATCATTCTGAAATGAAATGATCCCATATTTTGGTAAATGCTGTTTTGTAAGCTGATACGGGCATATGCAGGAAGGATATCTGTTCTCAGTCTTTAAAGCTTCATCAGTATTTGTTATTTCTCTTAATGCCATGTAGAAACTTACTTAAAGGTGACACAGTATTTAATCCTGAAATACTGGCTGAAAACCAGCCTTTATAACTATAAGGATGGAATGTGATTTCTAACCTAAATGGGTTTGGTTTTCTTTGGAAAAGTTCATATTTCTCCGTACAATTAAACCGTATCAAATGATCTTCTCTGGAGTAAATATTGTGGCATGTTACCTATATATAATGTATATGCGTACACACGTGTGTATAACAAGTAGTGGGATAGAATACTGGATCCTTAAATATCACTTCTGGATCTCAGAATATTTTTTGTTACCAGTAAAGTAAATCAGAAAAATTGTGTTTAATTTAAAGTGGATTTACAAGAAACCTCTTTGGTTATAAAAGGATCCCTAATCAGAGTTCATTAATACCTTTAAGAAATAAGCTATTAGTGGACTTGTGTGGCTAACATACCGATGTAGTGGCATAATTTTATTCATATATAGTTCTGGTAGTGGGAATGGTGTAGTACAAACAGTAAAGCTCATAGCGAACGGATTTTGTGATCCCTGCAAGTACTGGATGAAGGTAATCAGTCCAGCATATGCTGGGGAGAAAAAAAAAAAAGAAGCTTCATTTTCTTTCGATTCTGCCTTGTTAGTTGTCTTGTCTTTTGGCTTTGCACAAGGTCTTAAGGCTCTGGAGGAGGTAAAAGTAAACAAACAATTTCCCCCCCCCGCCCCCCGAAGCAAAACAAACTGAGTGTTTGTCACATCTGTAAAAAAAATGTTTCGGGTTCTTTTGCACAAGAACAAATCTGCAGTGTGCTTTGTGCAAAGCGGATAATAGTAAAGTTTGGAACGAAGTGGGCAGCAGCGCATTGCAAGGTTTGCCACAAACGCTGCTCCACTCTGAGCTTCCTCTCGTCAATACTGTTTTAAGGTGCCGGCTAAAATAAATCAGCGTGCTTAAACGGTTTCCGATATTTTTCTCTCTTTCTTTTTTGGTAGAGGTCGACAGAAAATGTACGGATTTGGATTTTTGCACGGTTTCGACTGGATTGCGATTTGACACTAAACTATTAAATTATATAGGGGTTACATTTAGTTTTATTGCTTCCAAGTTTATCCCAGCATAATCTAAAGTGCTCTGTTTTTTTCCCCCGCTTTCTTTTCTACAAGTTTCCTACTATTTCGTTTTCCTGATAAAACATTCTGCACCTCGGATTTAGGCTCCTCCGCAGATTTATTTACTGATCCCTTTAGTGCTTTGGGTCACAGCAGATTTGGGTGCGTGTTGTTTGGAACCAGCCTGCGGAGAGAGCTGTGTCTGTAGCACTGTGACTACTGGATCGTAATTCACTGGGAATTTTATAGCTAGGAAAATACACACAGAGACATGCTCCACATACACGCACACAGAGCATTAACTATGCAGACACTCTCAGTGTATCCATAGTAATAAATTTAAAAATTAACTATCTGAGGTTTGCCCTACTCTGTGATTATTGCGCCTGTTTATGGAACAGCGTCTGTCCTTGTTCTGGGTCTGGAAAATACACACGCTCACAAAAGAAAAGGAAAGAAAAAATGAGGTTGGATCCAGCTGCCTCCCCTAAAACGCGGGATGTTTTTCTCCCTGTCTTGCCCTGCTCCCCTGCTCCTCCCGGGAAGGTGGGATGCCGCGGGACCCCGGGGACTGCAGGTCGGGGCGGCGGGCTCGGAGCCCTTTCTCCTCTCCTCTCGTCTCCTCTGCGGCTGCCGAACCCCTGCAAGGGAGAGGAGACGCCCGGCCGGGCAGGGGGAGGGGGGAGCCCAGCAGTGCACAAGAGTTTCTCCCTCTCGCTAACGGTCTGTAATTGTTTTCCCCCAGCAGACCATGCCTTCCATCAGCAGTGACAGGGCTGCCCTGTGCGCCGGCTGCGGGGGGAAAATCTCCGACCGTTATTACCTCCTGGCTGTGGACAAACAGTGGCACATGCGCTGCCTGAAGTGCTGTGAATGTAAACTCAACCTGGAGTCCGAGCTCACCTGCTTCAGCAAGGACGGCAGCAT